CTGCATCCACCTGAGGACCCGGCCTTCGCGGTCTACGTGGGCCGGGTCCTCCGAAGTCCCGGTAGGCCGGAAGTGAGCGGCTGTGAAATTGGACGGTCTAGCCTTCAGTTTTGCGTCATCAGATGTCTCGGGGGAGTTAAATAAACTCAGCCGTCTGCTCCTTTCTGTCTAAAATATAACAGGACACTGGCGTAAATATTCGATCATCTCAGACTTCTGTTTAATCGGTTTTCTGTTTGACGTTTATTCAGCTGTATGAAAACTATAACTTTAAGCAATTTTAGCACGGTGTTTAAAAGGTCATAAAAGAGTGTTAGCCAGCATAAAAAGAACATTTCCCTATATTTAGAAAAGTTACATCCTGGTGAGCTTACCTGCCCTAACACACACACAACGCAACTTTGGAACACTATGCCAATTTAGTACTTGTTTGCTTTCACATTTTCGCGAAACTTTCGCGTTTCAGTATGGGAATTACTGGCAGCATTTGAAGGCAACACTGTTGTGAAGCTTCTCGTTTCCAATGGTAACCAAGAAGTACCCAGGGACTAGCAATTACACATTCAGCTCAAAGACACACCAACAACACAAAAAACGTTCTTACTTTAAATTAGTTTCTTTTTATACATTGTTATAAATGGATTTTAACCGTTCTTCGTGTTGGAATTCAATTTTGGAGAAAGTTAAACCAAATATTCCTACCATGGACTTTGACCTTTCACCTGTAAGTTGTGTTTTTAAACTTAAATCTTGCTAACGTCCGCTAATAACTATTTATTTACACAATTAATGCCGTTTTAACGTTGTATAGCCAGAGAAAGACGAAATCATCGCCATATACGAAAGACCAGCTGCTCTTTCCCTGAAGCTTCCTGAGGACTTCAACAGTTTTTCAGTAGATGCTGAATTTGAGGTCAGTGAATATTTTTTTTTATTCTTAATGATAGAAAAATCATGAAACCCAAGCAAACGAATGACTGATTATGATGACATGAATGATAATAATAAATACTCAATTTCCCTCTGTTTCTGTGATTCTGATTCTGAATGATCATTGTTATTTCTTATTTTTATTGTTTTTATTTGTCTCGTTTCCCTCAATCAGGAGCTCCCAAAACCATTATCTGAAGAGATTTGCAAAACAATGGATGTTAGTGAAACTGTAGAAAGCAATACATTAGCCTGTGTGGATGATGCTGAGGTGGGATATACTGGTCTGGTTAGAGCACAGCACCATAAAGCCACAGCATTTTAAATGTACTTTGTTTTCTTGTTATCATTAAAGGCGGGTGCTGGTGAGGATAATTCTGAGGTGTTGAATAAAGGAGTCAAGCTGAAGGCCTCTTTAAAACCAGACCTGGAAAATGTGAAATCCTATGATGGTTGCCCTGTTCTCTCACTTGCTGTAAGTTTGAAGAGTAGAAAAACATCATATGAAAGCAGTTATAAACAATGCAAGTAAATATTCTCTAAAAACTTACATTCAGAGCCTTGACCAGTGGGACTTGGATGATGCCCATAAAAATCTAAAAGAGAACAAGCTGTCTTTGCAACCCCATGTAACAGTGGCACCCCTGAAAACGCATCAAGGTAAGTCATTATGAAACGATTCACTGAGGCTGTAGTGATCGATGACAGGTTTATGAACTGAATCTTTGTTTTGCAGGTGGTGGCACAGACAAGTTGCAGGAGAATATAATGGAGAAATTAGCTGCTTTCTGTAAGAATCAGACTGCGTCTGTGTTAGAACCTGTGAGTCCAGACTCCGACAAGTAAGTCATATCACTGCCCAGGATCCTTAAGCCTTTAAAGATAATATTATTATAATAAGCGACCTTTTTCTTGCAGAGAAAATAGAATGTCGAGCAGATCAGTGGAAAAGTGCGGAATAGATTTGCAGTTAAGCCACCGGGAATGTTCCACTGTTTATATTGACCTGCGTTGCCCTGATCCCTCAGTAAAACTAGCAAGAACATCCCCAAGTCTTCCATCGGAGACGTCAGCCAAACACAACAACACTCACCAGAAAACATCACCTGCAAAGAAAAACAATTTAAAAGTGCACCGTGGATTGCATATGGGAGGCAGGTAAATACATCCTGCGTCAGGAACGTTGGTCACACTTCAGTTGTGCTTGTTTTCTTTCTGC